CAATCTGTCTCCTTCTGGGATGGACATGTTACCCTTACCACTATGGACATGATCAGAGCCACAACTGTCAACAGCAAAGTTGGTACCTTCTTGCACCTTATCCCTGGTGCCTCTACCGTCCACCTCGATACCCCTGCCACCCAACTTCTGGTACATGGCATTGCTACCTCTACCTCTCTGGCATCACTTGCCCAAGAACTCACAACCTTCAACTCCAGCTTATCTCTTACTGAACAGCCTCGGTGGCTCACCTCCAATTTAGCACGCGTCGGCAAACTTGCCTCAACTGTCGTTATTTCCATCACTGGACCCAAGGCTCCCTTCTTTGTTGACAAACGCCTCTCTGCCTTCTCCAATACATACCGAACTGAGCACTGCTTACGCTTCAACAAATCCACCCGGTGTGCCAACTGTCATAAGTTCGGCCACCACAGCATCAAATGCCTGCTACCTGCTTCCTGCCGCTGGTGCCTTCTCCCTCACTCTACTGGGGACCACTCCTGCCCTACCGCTACCTGCCGCCTTCGTGGCCATCCCTGCAGCTATACCACACTCAGGTGTGTGAACTGTGATGGCCCACACCAATCCCACTCGCCTGTCTGCCCTTCTCGCCCCCGTCCAGATACCCAAGAATCTAAGGTCTCGGAGGAACATGAAGAAGAGGTGGATATGGCTGGCTTGACATAGGCTAGGATACCTATAATAACAATACCCTAGGGGTGTTTCAGGTTGGCTATTACGGTGTAAAGGATAAGGCTGTTAGGCTTGCCTCGAGTGATTGCGTAGGGGAAACTGGCTTTGTACCGCCCCTCTGTCATGGCCCTTCCAGGGGACAGTATTGGAACACTTTCTTGGGTGCCGGGTGGGGTTAATGTTGGTGGATTTTTTGGTTATGATATAATGAGGAATGAGGCATGAGGCTGGAGCAATGCTGCCAGTGGTAGTGATTTATTGATTGTGCTGAGATTTCCGTGGCCTGGCTAGGTGGAGCGGATGGGTGCTGAACTGTTGATGGACTTGTACTTTAGCTTTGGTGTTGGTGCTCGCTTACCGGACTGGTTAACGGTATGGGAACGGAGGATTGGTATCTTGTATTTAGTTGCCTGTTTTTGTGTGGGTAGCAGGGCCCCAGTCCCAGCGGTAGATCCCGGCCAGTGTTAAGCTCTTGTCGGGGGGGCGCTCGTTATATGCCCGATTGTGGCGCGGCGAGTAAAAATAAGGACTT